AATTCTACTTTAAGTTACAGGCTTCTAAGTGTAAGAAGAAAATTCATTTAGTCGAATCTTTCGTATAACTATTCTAATTGTGAATGTCGATATCGTATCGATTCGGGAACAAATCAAATAGTGTATAAAGGGTTTATACTAAGTAAGTAACCCTCTTCTTCACAGAACATACAAATAAAAAGAAAGGAACTATAACACGTTGGTAAAAAATATTCTGGTACTACTGTTTTCTTTTTGGACATTTTCCTGTAGAAGTTTTTCATTTTGACGAGACTTCTGGTAGAAACTAACGATTTGAAGTGTATGTCTTCGTGTTTTGAATATAGACCATAAAAGTGTCTTAATTCGTTGTAAACACAAAATGAAACGTTTTTATTCTGACAGACGAGGCCAATACTGTGATTTCATTTCGGAAATCCAGTGGAATATGTCTGTCCTTCTTCTTTTCATTAGCAAAATATAAACAAATAACTTTATGCTTACTGTTAATTTCATGGTGTATTTTGCCTTCCATGTTGAACGATCTTCTTTAACCATTTTTGTTGCAGAAAAATGGTTTCAAACGTATCTACAAAAAAAAGTGAGATAACAATAAGAAATAAACAAATTTCGAAGATGTGCCGACGATATAAGGAAATCTTTCCTTTCTAGCTAACTCTACTGCTGTTTCTTTCTGATAACAAATTGCTAGTGTGATTTTACAAGTAGATTCTCACACGAAAACGAGGATGCATCAACAGACGACATATTCGATTAATTCACTCTTAAACGCTGTGAAGTTTGAAAGATATGCTCCTGCCACTGCTAAACCAAAAGTCTGTATCGCGCATACGATGTTAAACCATTCACAGTATGAATGGTTTCCATACCTCAGGACTATTGAGCTTGTCTTTTCCAATTTTCCTGTCTGATCATAAAGGAGAAGACAAGCTAGTACCACATCTGCAAGAACGCAAGAAAAAAAACGGAATGCTGCCTCCACGTAAAAAACCCAGGTTTAAAACGAATTTTCAAGAAAGAATTCCTGACATTTGAGGTGTAAAAATTGCGAAGTTAAAATAATTCCTAAGTAGGTTACAAATCACTTTCACCAACAGTATCTACCAAAAGTACAAAGACACTTCGACTATCATAATGACTACTTTCAACCAATCAAATTGCTTCGCCATTTGAGTGACTTCAACAAAACAACAAAAAATAATAACTGAGATATACTCAGCCTCATACAGTGTGAAAGAAAAGAGGGAGATAAAGGAGAGAAAATATCCGCCTTGTTCTATTTGAACTGCTGAAAGTGCAGACTGTTCTGTCAAAATAAATATTTTTTTATTTAGCTGTTCTGTCCAGTAAGTTTGTTCCTATAAAGTCTAACACAAATTGAAAAGGAGTGTTGATTATAACATGGTTAGAAAAATTATCCTTAGAAGTTCGCTAAATATTCTCATACAGCTTATGCGTAAAGATATGACGACTAACTATCTAGAACAGAGCGTTTTTCAATGTTTTTAACAATAAATGTACACAACAAAAGGAAAATGTACGACACGTTAGGAAAATTAAATGCACACTCTATTTCTATCATAGAGAGCCCTCAAAATAGGCTAAAATGTGGTGATAAGAAAATATGTACCGGTCTAACGAGGTTGATTGAACATTTACGAAAGCAATTTGTTTCGTTTACTTTTGTAGCGGAGAGCGTTATGCTCTTGAAAACAATGATTCTAATACCGTTACTCACTACAGCTTATTTTCTTAATCTATTTGCGTTCTTCTAGATGTGTTTATCCGCTTGAATTGATAATTTTATCTGGTACGTTGGACGATGGTATTTTAATTATGCCTGTGTCGTTAAAACGAGAAACTTTATGGCCCAATTAGAATTGGATTTATTAGCGTTAGGTGCGCCCTTAACAATAACTACTGGAATTGTCGATGCCTCATATCAACTACAAACAAAAACAACGACAGCGTAAGAAATAATGTATCCATTTTTTACTTATAGAATAGGAAAGAGATGACTAGTAAACGTACAATCGTATATGAGAACAAAATAAAGAAAAATATACATCTTAGCGTTATTAAGCAGGATTTTTCTTCTAAACTATTTCAGACAACGTCCTCAGCGTGAATGTCGTCAACGTAAACGTCCTTATGATCCGAGTGAAACTGATCAATTACCCCAGCATCACATTAAACGTACAAAATCGAATAATGAGAATGAACGTTTATCAAAATCGACCGATGAAAATCAAACCAACACAAACTCCTTTCGTTTTATAAAACAAGCTACAATATGTGAAAATAATCATCATGAGTCAAATGAATTAATCAATGGTAGCAGTGGCAGTATTATTAATAGTATATCGATTGATGACGAACAAACATGCGATTCACTTAGCTCAGAAATACAAAGTGATAGTGAAGATAAAGATACACCGATACCAACAGTTCATGATAAAGGTAAGCAAGATTAAATTAATAACTGTAGTAGTTATCAATTGTTTTTGTTTATACTTTTAAGCCGATGAAAACAGTGATAACAATGATGATGAACTATCAAACGATTCAGACGAACAACAACGTAACAAAGCCCCACCTGTTCAATATTTCTCTAAAATCTCAACCGATCAACGACCATTTATTTCTGTTCTCAATAAACCTTCAGAACAATTGAGCTCCTATCCGAAACATTTGCGTAAACAAATAAAACGTTTTCATTATTTGTATGATCATGGTCTACGAAAATCAATTGAACCAACAAGAGTACCAGAAACAGACGATAATGAAATAACAGTGAATGAAACAAATGATCATACTGATTATCTGACAACAAAATGGGAATTACGAAATACATTTAATCGTTTAGATTTGTTTAAAGAAGGCTATTCGGTTTTATCCAATGAACAATTTCCATTTTATTCGTTATGCTATATGGTGAGTATCATAAATAAAACAGAACTTATATCGTAGATGCTGAATGGAATACTCGTGGTGTCAGGGCCGTAAATAGGAAGTCAACTTTGGGGGTGCTAAAAAATTTTTAAAGCTTCGCGTAGCGAAAAATGTTTATGGGGAGGTGGAAGGAAACATTTTCGCTGTGCAACCAAAACTAACGAAAATATTTTAATTTCCGCTGGAAGATTTTTATTTTTGGAAAGTGTACGCCCATCCCGCGCAATTTACGGCCCTGCGTGGTGTCAGAACGACGTGTCATTGTCTATCTTACTGAATATATTTTCTTCGGATGTTACATTAGAAATACCTAGTAAATTTTCCCACTAGTTTCTATATCAACTACTCATAAAATTGTTATTTCTCGATATCCAAAGGAAAATTTGTCAAGATTGGTAATTGTCTGACATTTTAGTGTGGTTCAGTGGGTAATGATTTAATTTATTGTAATTGTTGCTGTGAAGCATATCATTGTTACTGTTTAAACGAATTAGAACGACCAAAATTATTTCCAATACCTGATTCATGGCTATGTCCGAACTGTAATGTATGTAATATATGTGGATTATCCGGTCATACAACAAATACTCTCATTGCATGTGCCGAATGTAAAAAAAATTATCATCTCAAATGTATCAAACGTGGATCTAACAAATATGAACAAAATCAAGAACAAATAACAATTAATAATAATCAAAAGTAAGCTATACTATAGATATTTCATTTATTTAACTCTAATTTATATATTTTTTAGTCCTACCTTAAAATCTTCGTCATCATCATGTTCAACCGTCTTTTTTCGTAATCAAACATGGTATTGTCCGCGATGTATCAAATGTGATTGTGGACAGTTACTTACATGTACTGAACGTAATTTATTCTCATCATTTCAATCAAAATCTGTTATTAGTCAACAATCAATGATGTGTAAAGATTGTTTAACAAATTTAAAACTAATGATTGGACAAAATCGAAAATATGATGATATTGAAAAATGTCATCTATGTGAAAAATTTATTGAACAAATGATAACAAAACAACAACATAAACAAGAAACAAGTCAACTAAATTTAATGCAATGTCAACAATGTAAAAATCGTTTTCATCCAAAATGTGATGGTTATCTTGTTGAAGATTGTACATTAATCGGATATATCAAATCAATTTGTTTTAATATTGTTTGTTCAAAATGTAATTCAAATGAAAGAGATAATATTAAAAGATTAATTATTGATTATAAATTACAAGGTAAAATTAAATCACTTTTACTGGTAGAATCAAAGAGAGAAAGTCGTATGAATTGGGACTGTAAAAGTTCCCGTTGCGTTGATTTAACGCTAACTGAAAATACCGTTCAAATAATGGTAACTAACTTATCAATTAACGTTAAAACAACGGTAACTGAAAAGACAGTTACCGTTACTTTAACGATAACTGCGTTACCAGTTACCGTTCAAACAACGGTAACTATCAGCTCATCATCATCATCGGTCGTGCTTTTGAGGTGCGGCAATAAGATTATTCCAAGCACTTTTATCTTTCGCATAGGTGGCTATTTCGTTGGCAGTAAGTTCAACCTTTTTGTCCGGCAACACATGATGTGATATTTGATGTGTGTATACCGTGCGTTGTTGTCTTGGCGTCTTTATATTTGTGTTATTCGACTCATAAAGGATATAGATGTTTACCGGTTCGTCGGTGTTCATACGAAGGCAGTGTCCGGTGAATTATAGTTGACGCGTTCGAATGGTTGTTGAGATCGACTGTTCGTTCACCTTCTGGTAAAGAGCCTCATTGGTCATGTGGACTTCTAATTGTTTGATACCCAGCATGCTTCGATAGCAGGTTCTTGTGAATACGTCCAGCTTTTTTGTCAAATCTGAGGGTAAAACCCAGGTTTCGCAGCCGTATAGTAGGATGGGCGCACATACTGCATTGAAAAGTCGGATCTTGAATTTGAACTATAAGTTAGTTAATTTTGTGGTAACTATTTTTTAAGTATGGTAGAAATATCCACGCAGCGGCTTAAAATGGCTTCCAAAATCGCTAGTTTTCCACTAAAACTGTTGAATCTTTCGTAAATGGCATGGTTTTGTAGTCTGATTTCGTTGATGAAAACAAAAAGGATTTCTCAAGCTGGCTGTGGATGCCGAGATCTCCAGAGACTTTAAAAACCGCAGTTACAAAACATTCAAGTTATATATATTTTCGATTAGCTTAGTTGACTGGCACGTGTGTGTCAATCAAAACCATGTCATTTATGAAAGTTTCAACAGTTTTAGTGGAAAATTAGCGATTTTGGAAGCCATTTTAAACTGCTTCGTGGATATTTCTGCCATACTTAAAAAATAGTTACCACAAAGTTAACTAACTGATAGTTACCGTTATTTCAACGGTAACTGGAGACGCAGTTATCGTTAAAGTAACGGTAACTGTCTTTTCAGTTACCGTTATTTTAACGGTAGTTGTATTTTCAATTAGCATTGTCGATAACGGCCAAAGAAGTAACGGGAACTTTTACAGCCCTACTATGAATATCATCATAGTCTTGAAGTAGATTGAACGAGAATCTCTAATATTGAAACAACTAAACTGACAATTTTAAACATCTTTTTACAAACTTTTGAAGTTTCTCGCTTCATCATCAGGCAAAGTTTATTCGTAACAAGAGAAAAAACAGTGTACATTTTTTTGGAAGCTCTCTTGTTACAAATAAATTTTGCCTGATGATGAAGCGAGAAACTTCAAAAGTCTGCAAAAAAATGTTTAAAATTTCAGTATTCAAGAAAAGACACTATTATACAAAAATAACGAGAATTTCATGTATATGTTGAGAAAGATTCTTTTGCAATTAAAAGGATTAATTTGAGATATCAGAAATCTCTTTTTATTCATGAAAAATGAGTTGTTATATATTTTAGTGATAAAAAGTATAATACAAAATATTTCGTCGACAATTTCGATAATGTTAAATGATACATCAAATTCTCCACAACGTTATCTTTGTCGTTTACAACAATTACATGAATCACGTGGACAATCTCTTAATTTACATGCATTTTTGAATGATCTTTTAATTATTGTTCAACGATTACTCGCACAAATAAATATTCGTCGATGGCAAGCAGCTATTGATGGTTGTATTGTTCGACAATGTCCATGGTTTAAAACAACATTTAATAATAATCAACAACTCTACTATTCTATTGATTCTAGTTCAAATCATCATTCACCACTACTACCACCACCGACTCAAGATCATAACTATTCACTTACTAATGAAAACTATTTAATGAATTTAAGTTCAAATTATACATCATCTGAATCATTAATTAAATATATTGATCAAGATAATACGACATATGGTGATTTTACTAATTTATATCAATTAGATACACGTAAATGTGAACTATGTCAGACTTATTCCGATCGTTTATCACCACCAAATATTGGTCGTCTAATATCAATTGGTTTTAAACAATGGGTTCATGTTGGATGTATTCTAGCTGCCTATAGTAGTCAAAAATTATCTCCATTAGATGAACCACCATATATTCTAAGAAATATAAAAGATATTATTAAACAATGTCAATCAAAGTATACATGTCATATGTGTCATAAACAAGGTGCAACAGTTATGTGTTGTGAACAAGATTGTAATATAAGATATCATTGTGATTGTATTCAAAAACATTATGCACAACAACAACAAATACCATCACTTAATTTAGTTAATGGAACATTAGCTAATTTACAAACATATTGTATTAAACATTATAAAAAAATGAATGGTGAAACAACAACGAATGATCAAATAGAAAGGATAAGCACAGAAACAAAACAAACAAGTAAATAAAATTGAAATATTTTAATAAATTTGACTTTTTATTATTAGTTTTATATATCTTAATATGTTTATTTTAATTTTTTATATTTTAGATTTATCTTCCAATAATATTCCTATAAAACCGGTTAAATCAATTAATTTATCATCAACTGTTTATGGTGATTTAAATCGTGAATTAATTGGTTTGAATTTAGATGATCTTAATTTATGTATTGGCTCATTACAAATTCATTCAATTGGAAATTATGATTTATTATTAGATGATGATTTTGATAGTGACGATTGTGAGAGTAATTCAAGTGATAATGATGATGGATCGGATGAACCGACAATTAGTAAACATTTAAAATTATCACATATTTATCCAAATGATTATCATTCATCTCGTCTTTATTGGTCAACAAAATGTGCAAAAAATATGACAGTATATCATTTATATATATCATGTGAAAGTAATTATCATAATATAAGAGAAAATCATCATAATTATGAACATGGAACATCGGCACAAGAACGACAACAAATAATTCATGAACAGTGTCAACAATATTTCAAACAATTACAAATGAAAATTGATGAACATCGAAAAGAAGTTAAAATATTATCATCATCATCGACAGATAAAACTACGACACATCAACAAAAACAAACATCAAATATACAGTTGAATAAAGAGAAGAAAAAGGCAAATAATAATAATAATGGTAAGAGAAAAAATTTTTAATATTTTTTAGACTATTTTTAATTATTTTTAATTTTTAGTACAGAAAAAGACGCGTGAATTAATGTCATCTGCATCTTATGAAAATACATCATCAGTGGTGAAACGTCAAACACCAAAATCAGCTATTCAAAATATTCGTCGTCCAAGAGATAAAAATCAATGTCAGAAACCATCAACAAAAATAAATCATCGACCTTCTCCAAATATTAACAATAAAAATTATTCTAATGATATAGATAGTGACAAATTTAATCATCGTAATTCGTTAACAATGAAAGCATCGAATCATTATTGTCATAAAGTTTATTCACCAAATAAAACTAAAGAAGTAATGAGTGTCGATTTTAAAACATTGCAACATTTACTACCTAATATTTCAAATAGAGAAATGTCACCATCACCATTTGCTATTCTACTAGCCAAAGCTTTACAACAAATTCAACCAACAACATTAGCAATTGGGTATGTGTAGTAGTATCTCAATTATAAATTGAAATTTGAATAGTCAACTGCATACTCATTTTTATATAAACTTATTTTTTTCTTTATTTTAGTCCACAACCACAAGCTTCACTCTCTCATGCTCCCATTCTCAGTTATTATTTATCTAGTCAACAGCCGAATAAAGATGACAATAACAATAATAACAATATTAACAATATTAATAATAATCATAAACAACAACAACATTCATCCACTAATACGGTGGCATCTGATCAATTATTACAACATTTATGGAAAACAATGAATTCAAGTAAAAAACACAGTATGTTTTCTGATGATAATTGTTTATTATTATTATTATTATTATCAAAATTCATAAACTTCTTTTTTTATAGATGAATCTTCTCAAAATCAACAACCATCTAAAACTTCATCAACATCTCATTGGCGACATATGCAACAGCCAAATCCATTGAAAAAACTTCAGACAAATAATGATCGAATAGTCCAATCAAATCCCCAACAAACAGTTGATGTTGTTGATCTAAAAATCAAATCATATCAACAGATAGATCAAGTTGATCATCAAATAAAGAATCATCAGTTGGATACTATAGGTACGTAAACAATGTTCGATTTTTTCTATTAATAACAATCATAAACTATTGATTTATTTTCTCTTTAGATTGTCTATGCGTATCAGAGAACAATAAAGAGTCATCGCCCATTGTTCTAGAAGCCGATAGTGTTCTCTTGACCGATATTGTTTTATCAAATAAACATAAACAGAATGAACAATTTCCAAAAGATTGTTTACCACAATTGGACGGATGTTTTGATGTTGATATTGATCATAATAATGACGTTGATATTGATGATGTTAGTCAAATAATTGAGTCATTACTCGATCAAATTGATCAAACGAATCGTCAACGATCAACAAGTGAACATTCATTAGATTTAAATGGAGAATATCAATTACTTGACTTAAATATTGAGTTAACACCAATATCACCTACTAAACTCCATCATCAATCACCAAAAAAAGAACAAAAATGTCATAAATTAAGTGAAGATGAAATTATTGAGGAATATAAACGATGGAAAAAATCGAAATACGTTCAAGTTAAATTTCGAATTCAAAGTGATGATGGCTATGAAATTTTATCCGATGATTTAAATCAAGCATGGGCAACAATTGTTAATTTAGGTATAAAATAGTATTCAATAGATATTGCAAACAAAATTAGAATTCTCGTCAATTTTAAATTTTCCTAAGTAAACTCTTAGTAAAACATGGATTTTCCATAGTCATTTTGCGATAGAAAACCAGGACATATTTTAACAACACTTGAAGGACATTAGAGCTGTGAGAATGAGTAATAAAAAAACCAACAGAATACAATAGAAAAATGAGTTGTAGAAAGAAATCCATTTTATTATCCACGTGTCCAGATGATTTATAAAGTCAAACGAAGTAGTACAATCGATTTCTACAGTAAAATCCATGTTGTACCCAGAGTTTATATCGGCAGATATGAATTCGAGAAATGTCTGCACAGATCGATTTCATACGACGGCGACTTATGACCAGATACGGTGGTGTTCCATATAGACGTAAAAAATCACACAATTGTAGACAGCTGTAAACATTTTCTTTACGGTCATCGTACACAACAACGTATTACATCTGCATGGAATACAACCACATTTTATAATCTTATTACCACCGTAAATCGATCGTTGGTAGACGTATACGACGGTCGTTTTCATTGTCCTAGATGTAACAAATATAGACGAAATTTATATTTTATTGGATAGTTCTAAATTTATCTAGATAAATTCTACATTTGTCTGTTACACATATACATCATTTTACCAAACTTTTATTCAAATTTTAGTTCGTGAAACACGTGACGATATGAAATTAACTCATTTACCGTTGACACTCTACGATGGTCATGATGCATTTGGTTTAAATAAAACTATCGTAAAAACATTATTAAAACAATTACAAATATGTACAATAAAAAATTATTTTCAAACACAAACAACAAAGAAACCGTTGAATGAATCATCATCAATATCTCCTGTTCAATTACCATTGTCCACATCATCATCATCAAGTCTAAAATCAATGAAAATGATTGTAAAACAAAATGAATGGTATAGAAAATTAATTTTATATAAAAAACAATTAAAAAAACAACATCGACAATATTCAAAAACAACTATTTATGAACGAAAATCTCACAAGAGACAACGATTTGGATGGTTATTAAATCCATCAAGAAAAATTTCCTATGCAAAACAAACATTTGAAATTGATGATGCACTGATACATTCAAGGTGGGCAATAAAACAAATTTTATACAAGTTTTACCAGATTATCATATTTTTTCATTTTATTTTAGACGTATTATCTTAGAAGAAGCGTCGGTTAGTTTACGTTTGTATCATTTACATTATTTTTCTGCACGATGTTTATTAGTTGGTCATTCGCCTATACATGGTTGTGGTCTATTTACATTGATTGATATTCTTGAAGGACAAATGATTATTGAATATTCTGGAGAAGTTATAAGACCATGTCTAACAGATAAAAGAGAAAGAGAAAATGAAGGAAAAGTAGGTTGAATAGGACGACGATATAAACAATATTAATATTGAATTTATTTTATTTTTTATTTTATTTTTTAGGGTTTTGGTTGTTATATGTTTACTGTTGATTCAATGCATGTTATCGATGCAACACATCGTGGTAATAAAGCACGTTTTATCAATCATTCATGTGAACCAAATTGTTTTTCTAAAACAGTTTTATGTGGTGGTATTAAACGAATTATTATTTATGCTCTAAAAGATATTCAAAGTGGAAAAGAGTTAACATACGATTATAGTTTTCCAGAAGAAGATGTTAAAATTCCATGTTGTTGTCGAACAGATAATTGTCGATTATATTTAAATTAATTAACATAATGATAATAACTTATATTTACATAAAAAAAAATATTTGAGAAGATTTATTTTAACAATACTTTCGCTTTCTGTTGTTAAAAAAAAAATCTGCTTTATTTAGTTTAGTTCAAGATAATTATTTTCGCTTCTTGATTGATATTCGATTGAAAATAACAGGTTGATGTATTATTGTATTTTTTCTTTTGTTCTTCTTCTTGTTATAACGTTTTTGTCTCTTGTTTTGTAATTTGATTCTTCTTCCTAGTCATTTCTTTCTTTCTGTCTCATTTATTAGCGTTTAGTGCGTTCTGTTTTTGTTTTCTTTTTCTGTCTATTTTTGCCAAAGATATATATCTAGAAAAGTAAGCTTCTTTTTGTAAAGTTAAATGACTGTTGATTAATTAAATTACTGTCCGTTTAAAAAAAAGATACCGTGTTGGCTGTTTGTTCAATTGTATTTTATAGATAAATCATTGTAGAATTAAAGTCTTCTTTTCATAGGCTGACATAATTTGAAATGTCTACGTAATACGTTCGAAAAGTTTCAAAACTTTTCATCTCTTTCTTTTTTCTTATAAAAATATAATTAGAAAAACAACCACCGACGTTTCTTTTTTCTTAAAGAGGACAGTACATGTAGTTTTCTGTCTCATCCTTTTCTCTCTTTATTTTTTATTTTTCTCTTCACAGTGTGATCTGTTTCTCTGTCTTCTTTTTTTTTCTTTGGTTTTTTAAAAATGTTATTGTACACTTCTTATATGAATCCATTTGTGTATGTTCGATAAAAAAAAAAAATAGAAGAAATGGCAATTGGATAACAAAAAAAACAGAAACTTTTTCAAATCTAACTGTTACAAAATAATTTTAACTGTTCACAAAACTAGGGTAAATGATTGCTTATCGAAGAGGTGAAAGAGAGGTATGTAAAGTCGTGTGGATTCAAGTTTTTCTTAGTCATCCAATATTTTTGTATTAGAGTTACGTTTTTATTTTTTGTCTCCAGATGGTGACAACGATGCTAATTATTAGATCTGCTTGATCACGAATCGTTTTAGATGCTGATAAAATTTTTCTTCTGGAATTCCGTTTAGAACAATCAAAATTGGCAACTATTTTAGTGTCGTAATCGATGAGCTGTGCTATGTTTATTACAATTTCAATGTGAAATCAAGACGTTGCTAGTCATAGTAGTCTGATGGCTGCTGTTGGGAAATCGAGATGTACGCCAATATAACTTTCGCTAAACTAGCATTTCGCCAATTGTCGAAGGTCCACTTGACTTTTGCCAATAATTCAGTTGCATTGTCTCTTCAACGAAAAAAATGACATGATTTGTATTGAGAGACAATACAATTCCAGTCATAATTGACGAAAGCCAATTATCAAGTACCTCCATGATTCCTGCTATTGATTATTAGATAGAAAAAATACTTGAAAAACGTAATTTGTTTAATAATTAATTATACATAATTCGGCATACAAGACATGAAGACCCGTTGAAAATTTGAATGCAAGTGACGATATAATCGAACCATTTAACGATAGTTTAGAAGCAATAAACAACAATAACATCAAAATGTTATGTGAAGAGTGGGAGATGGCAGCAAGATCGTTTACCATTAGTGTGTTTTGTCGCGTTGATTGAAGTATTAATATACTGAGCACTCACAAGGCCATTGGGGCGGATCTTTTTTCTTACTAGAATGATATTTTTTCTATATATCTTACATTACTAAGAAGTTTTGAAACTCATAATTATTTATGTGTCTGGAAAAATAATCATAATCTGTTGATAACTGATAACATTTTTTATGCGGCAAAATCATGTCCAAAAACAACTGTTGTCAATACGCTGTCATTATATGTTTCATAGTAAAAAGTAATGTGCCTCATTTATATATCGCAGTAAATTGTGTTTCAGACTGTCTGAGCAAATATGTTCGAAACGAATGTGCCACGATCGAAGTGTCATGGTTACTAAGGTTCTAAAGATGTAGTTTTAGTCATAGCACATGTTATCAGTTATCAAAAGATTATGATTATTCTTCCAGCAGATATGTTAGGCTCTAGGAAAGAAAACATGTCGCTCCTTCCTCTGTTTTTGTGTGTGTTGTAACATTCTCCGTTTGATATTTCTTTACCATCTCTTGATTTGAAACCGGATGTAGATGTTGCTAATAAAAGAAAAATGTTACTTGTTTCTTTGATTTTTCAGCGGTTTTCTAAGACTTGAAACATTCCGTTGAGACAAATGAAATTTATTTGTCCGTACTTGTCGACTATCGTCTAAGTTCGTGCAGTTTAATCTAGTCGTTATAATCAATCTTGTTCTTGGTTACACTCCGAAAATTATATCTCAATAGGTAAACTCTTTTGAGCACATTGGATATCCCAAGTAGATTCGTGACAGCGACATTACGTAGAGCGGCCGAAACAAGTTGCAGTTATTTTAAAAATAAAATAAGAGGTGAAAATACTAAATCCGCAGTATTTTCTATACGGTTAAAAGAATGTGTCGTATATGTCCTAGAGAATGTGTCGCAGTCTCAATGGGAAAAATGTGCATAGAATATGTTTTGTGATACATTATTTTTTAGTGTGTTGATCTTATGTTGATTATCAAGTATTGTACAACGATAAAACACCTACTAGAATTGCTACTTTTACTGACAGCAATCAATGACTCTGCTTTCTTGAAGCATTTCCTGTTGAATTCAGAAGTGGTACTCAAGGCAACTTTCTCGTTTCTGTCGTGCCGTAAGACGCGATAAAGAGTCACGGTAAGTACCCGTAACGCGATCACGGTTATAATCACTAAATAAGAGTCTTATTTTATGATTATGGGGCTATTGTGGTCTAAGAATGATCGCGCTGAATTCACGATTGTCATGCCGCAATTCACTGTTCTTGTGCTATTGTCCTATCACGGATGTCATATCGTGATCGTGCTTGTCTCATAAAACCGCTCCACGACTCTAATTCTCGCGCAGACACGTCGCGATCACAGATTAATGGCTATTTTAGCGTCACGGCTCCCATCCTGAGTACTACGTTCTCGGATTATTCGATTTTCACTTCATCAGATGTTTGATTCCAGTCAACTAGCAGGACTTATTGTTGAGCGCACGATTCATTCTATCTCCGTGAATGAATATTATTTCAGTCTTCTTAATAATGGTTTAGGCCATATTAAGTTTTTATTGAAGTAAGAAACTGTTTTTGTTTTTTCTGAAAGTACCAATTTTTCGCAAAAACTTTATAAGAAAATTATCAACTGTATTTTCTGAAAAACAAAAGCAGTTTCTTACTTCAATAAAAAATTAATATGGCCTAAACCATTATTGAGAAGACTGAAATAATATTCATTCACGGAGAGAGATAGAATGAGTCGTGCGCTCGGAGCCACCAACAGGGCTAGACTGGGCTGAACCCTGCCTAGAAAGCTCGGAGCCCCGCCTAGACAGTCTTTTAAAACTTTTTCTGAAATTCAGCTTAAATTTATTAGCACTACTTCAGACCGAACTCCAGAAAAGTGATGGGCTGAGCCCTACCTAGCACGAAATCCTGGTACCGTCGCTAAACAACATAAGTCCTGGCAATTAGTTGGAATAAAATGGAGCGTAGAATTGCTAAAAGCATTTAAACCTACACTTTATGCAACTTGTTTTATGCGGTTTTTTCTTCGAGAACATGGTCCATGTAACTTAGTATACAGCAATTTTCGAACATTATCTCAATTTTTACTACGAGGTATGAAGGTCAGAAAAACAGTGGATATATTATATAAGAAAATGTTCACTCTCAGATCGACAACTACTTTCTCCTGTGTATTCTCAATTTTGGTTCGACATATAACTGGTATTAGACCGAGACTTAAGAGTGAGATGGGTTGATGCTGAGTATTACCAATAAGGTAACTACAGACACAGACGTATGTGAAGAAAAATTCACACGCGAACTCATGGAGGTGAGATCAATATGACCTTGACGCTTGACACCCGTTCGTTGAATGTTCTCTGCATAGACGTTGGAGAACTATTCTCCGATCAGAAGCGTTTAGAAAACCGATACTGGTATCTGTTACACCCCATAAGACACAAATGGCAGTCGATTTATTACACCGGGGTTACTCATTAATATTATCAACCTCGTTGGCACATTTCTCACTTTGATGCATTATTATTCTGGAACCTTTTCCAATCAACATGTTCAATTCGGCCTATGCACGAGTGAAATTACTTAGATTTAGTGCATTTAACTGAAAGAGGGGTCTTTTATACTTTGAAAGTAACCTTAAGAGAGAATCAGATAGTTTAATCTCAAGACAACAAAAAACGAAGGATTCAATATGTCTCACTCTCGCCTAGAAATTGCTGTATACATACGTACCTAAAGAGTGAGCCCTAAGTCTTGAAGCCGATGAATATAGGAAACTAAGTCTCACTCATCTCCTTAAGAATCATGTCGTAAGTATCAGAGCAAAGCGTGATCGAATCATGACTGTAAAAGTTCTTGTTAAAAACTATCATTTAAAAAATTACTACTGATAACATCGAGTTAATTGCACAACTTCAGTCGTTGTACAGAATATAGATACAGAACAGTAAATTTAGTTTTGTATGTTAACTGCAAAGCTAAGTTCACGCATACAAACTTGATTTTGTGTTCTCCGATAGTTTTAGTTTAGAATACTATAATGGAATATTTTTCCACTTGTATTCTGGCAGAATAAAGCTTATATCAACTGTCACGTCATGAGTCGCGGTAGTGAGTCATGTCGTGGGTAATATGAGTCTTGCGCGATCGCAGTACGGCAAATTGTCGCTTCATAACTATACAAAACTTACTTTCAATAATGTGAAATATATCGCGATCCGATCATGAAGCGATATCAAGATTTCTTAGCAATCGTGCCTTGAGTTAGTGAATTTATCGTGATCATGCCGTAGCAAGCACGATTACGGTATGAGGGAGGCAGGTGTTCATCTGAGTAGTTAAGTGCAAGCGTATCTGATATTCGACGACTCAGATATCGAAAAAGTTAACCCGATGAATCCCACGCTGCCACTGGAAACAATTTGAGCATTGTCGGATATCATCGATGTCTCAACATTTAAAATAGAAGAAAGAGATCTGTCTGTTCTTTTTTCTATTGCCAATTGCACCAAGAATGGGTATACACCATCTGACAGTGCGATAAAATACAAAATTTAAATTAAGAAATACATTTGGCACAGTCACATGGACACCCGATTAGCTTCGAACAACGACTGTAAAATCAGCTATACGTTAAGAAAAAATAATAAATTATTACATAATGATTTAAACTGCGTACACAAAAATTTTCACTATTGATTTCGACAATTGAAAGTAAAAGTTGAAGAAAATAAAGAATTATTACTAAAATGACAAGCAAAAACGAAGAAAGATATACTATTGCAGAAAATAAAATAAATGGTGGAACGATAATTAGTTATACTTTGTAAATTATTTTCAATAGAAATGAAAAATACTTTCACAAAAATAGTACAAAAGACAACGACGACGATACAAATAAGAACCGCTGCATATATTTTACAACTGAGATCGCTCAATTGGCTGTTCTGCAATTCAAGATAACGTGAAGGCAATTGAAGTAGAAACATTCTGATGAATTTTAGCGGAAACCGCTAAAATTTCAAAGTTGAATTGTCCCTCAAATATATCAATTTTACGAAGAAAAGTTTTAAAAAAAACTGGTATTTCGATAATAGCCAAAACCGTTATATTGTTATCCATGACACTCTGTAAGGAAACAAGAATACTCAGCCTTTGAAACTTGATCATAGATATTGGACAGTACATGCTACAAATTCAAATTCAATTTAAAAATTTAACCAGCGTTTTATCATTTATCATTAGCAAGTTCATTTTGATGATTTTATTTAATGATTTATATCTTTTGTTTGTTTATTATTCTTGTTGCATTTTTTTTGGGGGGGGGGGGGGGGGGGGTTATTTTTGAAAATGAACGGGGCCGGGCGCTTTGGTGAATAATTTTGGGTGTATGCAAAATTTTTTATACACCAAATTGG